GCCTTTGAAAATTTTTTGCTGCACCTCTTGGTACACCATGATACTTGCATGATTCTTTGGCACTTGGCCTAATAGCCCCATCTGATCACACCAGACGCTGTTGCTCATATTGTTCATTCTATTGCATCCGTCTTAGACAATGATGCGAGCAGCGCTCGTTTTAATCATGCGAACCGGTTTGATTTACTGAACCTTAACCGTGCTTATTGAACGTCTTACTGAGTGTGGTGTGACACGTGAAGTCTTGAATGTACTAATCGACTACCTTTCCCAGTTTACTTTCAAATAACATTGAAGCTGGTGTTTGTCCAGGTGCTATTTCCCCCTTTTTCATTCTATCAATATACATAATTTCTCCGTTCCGAGTAACGTTATTGCTTGCAAGTATGCCGAACTCGCTCCATATATCAACTGCTTTATGCGCGTACTTCAACAAACAGCAACCATGTAGTTCCATACCTTGTTCGGTTATCAGTCAATTCTTAGACAACTTATCACCCTACTCAGGGGAAAACTCCAGCAGTAATTGCTCTATCATTTAACACAGTATAGAGTTTGTTGTATTGTCGTTGTTGCTGAAAGCAATTTAATCTATATATCTAGTATAAAGTTGTTAAATTGCTGAAAATTCATCCTTTGGGTGCACAAAGCGTTTCCTGACTTGACTTGACTAGTGGTAGCGCGCACTGCTTTTTCACACTGCACCAAATGATTTCCAAGTAGTATCACTGACTCCTACAGTGTTTTCGGGGTCACGGTAGGGATATCATTTTGTTTCGGCTTCACTGAACTCCCGTAACCTTGTTTCAGCAAGATTGACTGGCTGCTTTTTGTAATAAGTGACCATTAATACCAGCCCAACACACTTTTATCTTTACCGCTCAGCAGTGCTATCCAATATAAATTGCTAATAATTGTTGACTATTCTCCAGACTGAAGAATTTTCCTATGAAACACATCGCAAAGGATATGGTTGGTACAATCGTCAGAAACACCTACGATAAATTCGAATTGGTGTCAGTGCATGGAAGTGGCCATAAAAGATCTAGATTCCCTTTTACATAGCTCGAAGGCCCTGGGCTCCAGTCTTAATTTTTAACTTATCGGTTGAAAGCACGCCTCACAATTCTCAACCGAATTAGCACGCACTGCCTCTGAGCCCCGTGGAGGAGTCAATAGCTATGCTTTTCTATTTTATTTTATTTTGCGTTCAGTTTAATTAAATTGCTCTTTCAATTTTCAGCATTGAAACTGCTCAGGTGATAGCAATTTATCTAGGGTTGTCATGAGTTTCTTATAGATGCGACCGTGATGTAAATAAAGCCTAGCACAATTTAATCGCGATCAGTTTCACATCTGAAGCGTCTTTGAATAAATTACTGCCTGGAAAATGTGCTTCCCAATATTAGACGTCAGGCCATCGCCACATTTGGAGAATCAAACCTAAATTTGCATCGCAGTACGACAGGACAACCCACTTAGAAGAGTAACTTATCGCAAATATTAGACTGCATGTCACTGCAAACGGTAAATACGCTCCGGCAATCTACTCAAATGCTTCATACTGAATTTCTGTCAGTCCTCGGCGCACACGTAAACCATTATACAAATCTGCTTTAATTCAGTTTTGTTTTGAAACGAAGTTACTGGTAAGAGGTCCAATTCAATACAATATAAGTGCTCAGTTATATGCATACGTCCAAGGAAGGCAAGTCGTTTCGGACACCTTTCCATGGGGTTGTTTATTGTTTTATTGCATTCGGTTCATATGCGATGATCTTTTGAAATTCTTTCATAATCAAATGATGGTAAACAGACTCCAGTTTAGTTACTCACAACAATAAATGGTTTTATGGCATATCAGAAATTGTGAGGAAAAAACCGATGAACATTGAAGATTACTTGGTTCTGACATTCGTTGAACAATTGAAAATTCGTGTGATCTTCATATCTGAACGAGAAGCTCGAATCTGGCTTACACAAATACATAAGCAGACTTGGCGATTTATTTAGCTCAATGAGAAAGAAAAGCAAACAGGTTGGACAACAAAACCAAATATGTATTGTAGATGATAGCAGACATCAACTATTCGAGAACAATGACGACGACAGTGGCTAAGAACGCTAGCCTAATCTCCAGTAATGCCGCATCAGGTAAAATTATAGATCTTTTTTTGAAGCGTTTGTTTCTTTCGACGAAATAACTTGTCAAATAAAAAGTATGCACACACATTAACGGTAAAGAAACATGATAACTGTTGAATTTTCTAACGATTGGAGACAACCGTTCTTCAAAAAGTATCATCAGTTTTTATGATGAGATCAGCGTTGTTCAGTAAAACAAAGCACTTTTCATACCACTGAACTCAGACACAAACGAAATCCTTGTACCTCAATTTGTCGTTGATGAATTTGAAAGACAGATGGGTAAAGTGAACTGAGGGAAGAACAACACGACAGCACCACAATTCCACCTTTCCGAAAAAGAGAAGAGTTAAATATTGAACCACGAGACATGTGAATACGAGACCGTGCACGCATCCAGTAATTCCATTTGATTGACATTACCAATCTGGTCGGCCAACGCGTGTCCAGTTTGGTGTCATTGAAGACAGGTGCGGTGGCAAGAGAGAATCAATATACAGTGAAAGCCAGCATTGTCCGGTCTGTTGATGAAAGTAGAACGCACGACATGACGCCCGAAGTTTGCACCTGAAATCAATGGTTTTGGTGTATTACAGAAAGAACGCAAGAACCTTTAAATGGTTAACACATTAAGATTGCTTACCTTATCTTCTGTTAGCGAGTACTAGTTTCACCCAATTGAACCCGAGGATCTACTATAATTCAGTTTTTTGTGCTACAGTCTAGATAACCCATTGTTCTATGTCTGCACTGCTGTCAAACGTTTTCTCAGTAGCTAATCATTGGACTGCAAGTAGCAGTAGGATGTAACTCTCCTATGAAAGTTTAATAGATGGATACCCACGTTTTATTAAAAGCCTGTCTGGGTACCCACTGGGTGTAGCTCTTTGTACATTAACCTTCGAAAAACAGCCAGTAATTATCCTATTCTGAACTCTGAATTGTAATCTCGGTAAAGCTTTTAATTGATACGTGAGAAATAAAACATTAAATGGTGTTTATAAGCGCACACTTACTGAAATCCGCAAGATAACAACCCCGGTGTCACGATTGAGGTAAAACAGCCTGTGTTTGAGTTATGCTGCAAATAGACGGAATGAAATGAATAGGGCCAATTGATTACAAAGCGTTCAAAGGATCCAGTGTGTGACTGGTTAGAGAGTTCACAAATGACATCACTGGCGTTCCGCGACTTTTGTTTGTTGTCGACCAGTACACCATTTTCATAAAGTGCGATTGCTTCATAGGACTCATCTGGTTCTTTAGAATACCATCTTATTGAGTTATCGTTGTTGCCGGTTTCGTGGTCTGCAAACCCCGGATCACCCACTCGCCATCCAGCTTGAAGATCGCTAGACCGATTCAACATCGCATGCAAGCTTGTGAAAACAGTCTTGATATCCGGAAAGAATTTGGGAATTCTCTCCGCATGAATGCCCGAAACGAAAAGTCGTAAACCCCGTTTCTTGCCCTCCACTTTGCATAGCTGGTGAGCTGCACAGTAGGTGGCTGCAAGCGGCAGATGAATCATACAGACCCCATCGCCCACATCCTTGAAATCCGGCGGACAGGTACGATAGGCAGTAGAATACAACAGAAAGAGCAAAACACAATTCACAGTCTTGACATATAACGATCGCGAACCCATGGTAGATGAAATATATGAGTGAATTTGGGATGGCAGTGAACTTGGGACGGCAGTGTAAGGGTCTGCTGATAAATAACATTGAGCTACATGACCCATTGGTTGCTCTGTGGAACGAACATGATTGGTCTGAAGAACGCGTACTCTACGCGGATGATTTTAATTTGCAAGTTCTTGTCTTGTGGTTTCCATTATTCCGTATGGTTTAGGGGAAAACCACAATGATCTTTTTATTCAGTGCACTAAGACTATCACGCCATTTCAGGAGGGGGTGTTGATCTAGCAATTGACAAAAGTATAGGTCATGAATTACTGCAACATAACAATGCAGACAATTGGAGTCGACAAAACCCGATTTCGAGAGATAATTTGACCATGTGAAGACATTTTTGCGTGAATTTAGCTATATGTATCAAACATCAATGAAGAAAAATGTATCAAAATCGTGACTCGTAGTTCTGTTATCTACTAATAATCACCTATCCGAGGTTNTTTCAAACAAAACAACAGAAATGCGCACAAGCTCGTTTTAGGAAATCCGTATTCATGCCAATACATCCCAATATATATGTATATATATATATATATTATTACCTGGGGAGAAAATGGTCTTGAGAAACTAAAATAAAATAAAATCACAGCACCAGACAGCAAATCCGCCTCGATAGTCGCCCACGAAATTTATACAAGAGTCGGAAGCCGGCTACGGCACAATCGGTGGGTATTTGTCTGCATAACCCCCTCTGTGTTCCAAAAAACAATATTTTGCAAGTGCTAGATCTTCCCTGACTCACACCCCATACACACCGTATCACGAATTACGTCAGTGATAGGATGAATATAATTGTGATGAACCCGATTTCCGGACCGATAGTGAAATCGTTTCTAGTAATCTGTGATTTTATTTCATTCTCTCAAGACAATTTTATTCCCAAATAGTGATATAAATTGTGATACATTGGCGTGAATATCAATCTCCGAAAATTAGCTTGTTCGCCACTCTGTTGTTTTGTTTGACGTAATAATAATAATTATATTACAATGAGATAATGTTTCGATCGTCTCGTTAAATCCCTTTCGTCAGAATACAAGTCTGAAGGCGAACAATTGTTTTAGAATGATTCATAATCGTGCCTGTACAGATCATATGGGGTTTTGTTTTGTTAGTAGGGACACATTTTCCTGCTGGGCCGAAAGGCTGCCTACGCTGGCCACTTCTATGTTCATCTACTCCTTCTGGTGCGTTTGTATTGCAACGTAATTTGATCACAGGGCGAGGCAACTATCCCAACGGATAAAGGAACACTGCCCGCACTGGTTAAAACAAGGAGGAATAAAAAGCATAAGAAGCGCCATTCTTGGTCATCTAGTGGATACAGACCATCAGATTGGACCAGAATCCGCTTTCAGTGTAATCTTTCGTGTGCCCCCCCAACCCCGCTAAAGCAGTGCGCTTACACATACTAGTCACCGCTGAAACGATAGCCATTCAGCTTTTCGTAACAGAACCATGTGCACAAAAGCGACTGGTTCAAACTCTCCACTTACCCTCGGCTCAAACTGATCATCAACATCAACACCACCATCACCAACACGCAGCTGCTAAGGCATTCGAAATAAAAAGAATAATGTCTATTTTAGCAATATTTATCTCGAGTTTGTCACTACCTGAAGCGCCTCTATCATATTCTCACTAAATACAACAAAATTAACCGGTGCCTTTCTTCATTTTATCCTACCCTTGAATGAATACTTTCGTTTTGAACTAGATTTTGTGCTATTATTTGCTTTTGTAATTGAGGATCAGTAGAATTGTAAGTTATGCCCGCACTTGAAAACTCTCAGGTCCAGTTTTTGCAATGAATTCACTGTCGGCAGACTTTGGTATTTTCCGCGATTGGCTTTGTGGAAAAGATATCAATGTTTATATCTTAAGCTTAAATGAGCGATTAGTCAAGAAACACGTGATTTATTAACAGTAAATATCGGTTTCGATTAGAGAATCCAATTTGGTTGCTCGGTATTTGAGAGCTCAAACATTGACTTAGAAAAAGTAGTCCCGAAAGTTAATATAACCGAGGAAAAGTTTATTGCACTACAATTTAGATAATTCTAATTCCTTAGCTGGAAAGAAATTCAAGATTATTTATTTAAACTGGATATAATTAGCAGGCACATATAAAGCGCTAACCCGAAAAAAGATTTTAGCAATTACAAATAAAACTTCATTAAACCGCCATGTTGTGCTTTGTAAATCCTGATACAGTTTGCTTTTTACTCCATTATTTCATTATGCATAGACTATTTTATTGAGAACATTTGGTTTGTAATCGGTTTAGAATAGTTACTGTTGCGTCCGCTTGAGCTTGCATTTCCAATACGCTAATTAGGGTAAACCAAAGTCGGGATCTGAGACAAACGACGTTGAACTTCGCCATGAAGGTCAGTTTTCAACAGGAAAGAACAAATTCAACCCGCAAACGAGGAATGATCCTAACCAAGACCAACGAGAGTGTGCAATGAAAACACGAATTCAGCTGATAGACCACAACATAAACGGTATCCAAAACACGTTACAATAAAGTGCACAAAAAGGAAGAACAAACCTGGATGTATGCTCAACCTAGCAGAACGCAGAAAACGTTCAAACGAGATGTACACTGAGCTCAACCGAGCTGAGCAAGTAATATGTGTCCGGGTCGAACATCGAAAATTTTATGTTGGAACGTTTGCTTAAAGCAGGATATTACAGATTAAAAGAATACAACAGGATACTACCAGAAGTACAATATGGTCTTTCCCCTAATTCATTGAAGTTGTTCATCCCGATGCTTCCATTTGCACTTTTCTGCTTTGTGCGGGGCCTTCAAATTCGGCCGTGCTGTTGCTTTCCGTTCGATCATTGTCACATAGTCACTGACATTCCCGTTGTTTCTATACGTCAATTAATTTTGTGGGTCGTTTCCATAGGAATATTGTGCAATTACGATGACGCCGGTCGCGATATTTCATAACGCCTTCATAATA